TGACTGTTTAGTGTCTGGTTTTGCACCAAACACTTGTGTTTTGCCTTGGAGGGGCAGGGAATGCCTTATGAGGCATCCCCACACATCACCGGCCATGGCCAGGGGCCACCGGCTGGTGTTTTGATGCCATCGGCAATCTACATTGCCGGTCGGCATTATTTGTTGCCGGTCGGCACTCAATTTTGACAAAATGGCAAGTTTGAGCAGCCGACTACTGTTCATCTGCTTTTGCAGATATTTTAAGACAGCTGTATGTCATTTTGTTCCCCTCCATACACGTGTATGGAGGGATGGACCCCTTGTTAGCTTACCTTGTAAGCTTTACAAGATTGGCTCCTCTATAAGAGGAGAGGAGCCCTCCCCTCTTGGCTCTAGGTTAGAGATTTTGGAGAGAAAATTGGTGTGAGAGCTCTGGTTTTAGGTCTAGGGTTTGATATATATTCTATCTCTATACCTCTCTCTCATTTAGCCTTAGTGTGTGTGTTTTGTCTTACTTTTGCTCACAAGCACCCACTATTACACCATCCCTTGGAGCTAAGACCTCTTGAGGGTTGTTTTTGAGGTTCTTGAGCTGTTTTGAGCTCAAAGAAGCTGCTGGAGCTTCATCTTTGAAAGAAGTCAACAAGGGTAAGAAACTAGTTCCTTTTTACCCCATTTTTGCATTCTATTTTTACCTATCTTGCAACTTTTTTTTGGCTTTGCATATAACATAAAAAAGTTCTGTTTTTAGGCCCTCTAAATAGTTTATTTAGGGTGTTTTGTAGTTTGAGGTTGTTTGACCCCTCCTAAGCCTTGTAAGGCTCCATTTTGTGCTATTTTGTGTAAGCTCCGAGACCTTGGTGTTTAGGCCTCCTCACCACTGAAATCTTAAGGGATTTCAGAGGTGAGGATAGTGCCTTGAGGTCCCAAGAAGGAGAGGGCCACCCCCTCTCTTTGTACTAGAAAAAGGCCATTTTGGCCTCTGAGGGAGCACCTAGCTAGGCTTCTGTTGACATGCCTTGTCTGTTTTTTGTGCTTATTATGTATAAATGCCTTCTGTTTTTTGTTGGTTTTGGTACGCCATGCATGCTTAGCATACTTATCTTGTAAATGCCACTTTATTGCCTAACATCCTAGAGGTTGTAAACCCTTGTTCTAGCATGTTTTAGGCTTAGCTTTGGTGAAGCTTTTGTGACATATTTTGCCATGTTTTAAGGTCTGTCCTATGGTGTTTAGGTCGGGCTTGGCATCTTAGCTATAGCCGCTTTGCATTCCGCTTGTTGGCTAAGTGGTGTGAAGTATATAGCATGCATCCTTGCCTTAATTTAGTGATTTGGGACCATTTTCTGTGTTATTTCAGTCCCTTTAACATGTTTGTATGCTTGCCTTGGATGCCTTTTTGAAGCTTTGAAAGCTTGTCTTGCATTCTCCATGTTTTGGCCATTGTACATGCCTTTGAATTTGGGCCACTTAGATGCCATCTAAGGGGTCCCCTTTGCATGGTCTAGGTCTGCCTTGGACCTGTTTTAAGCCCTCTAGGCCTTGTGAGGCTTGGTTGGCTTAGCCATGGTTCAAGTCCCTTTGACTTGCTTCAAGTACTTGGGCCATTTATTGCATGCTTAGCCTATCTTGTTTGCTTGGTTTAGCACCATATTCTTGCATAATTTTCAGAGCTTAATGCATGTCATTTATCCATGTTTGCATCCTCTTAAATGTGCTTGAGAATTGCTTTTAAATGCTTGAAGTATTGGACATCCTTTGCATGCATGTGTGTGTGTGTTTTAGTCCATCATTTTGGGCACTATGGCCACTGTTTTGGGCCTAATTAGAGCTGCCCAAATCATGTTTAAGTCCATCATTTGCTTGCTCGCATGCTTACCTTGCATGTTGTTTGTACGCTTGCATGCACATCTTGCATTCCCATGTTGCATCCTTAGCTTGCATGCCTAGGCTGCATTGCATCTAGCATGCATGTCTTGTTCCTTGATCTAGTGATAGGAATTGGGCTTTGGTTTGTTGGTTTGCATTGCATTTGACATCAAAATGTGCACACTTGGTCCCTTGGGCCATCACGCATGGAAATGCGCGATTGATGGTCCGAGAACTAAGGAGCATGTCCCTTTGAGTCACTAACATGATAAGGGACATGATTGGTGCATATATGCCTTGAATTGTATTGCCATGCTCTGCCTTGCCCTCTGTTGTTGTCAATTGCAGATTCTGCAGGAGCTTTCTGTCGACCGGCAGTGCTAAGTGCCGACCGGCAATCCTCCCTCTGCCGATAGCTTCACTAATGGCCGGTGAACACAGGCCACTGCCGGTGGGCATTCTACTCAGCCGATGGCATTTCCCAGCATCCAGAGAAGCAATCCTGAGGTTTTAGCAGCCTCCAGAGGAGTACTGCAAGGAAAACAGGGGCAGCCTATGCATGGCGGTGCACTTCCGAGCAAGACCCGAGCACGCATTGCATTGAGCTCTCTTCCCGAGGCGGTTTACTGTTTTTCCTAGCTTAGTTAGTTTGTTAACTAATTAGGTGATTTGTAATAATTAATTAGCTAGGTTAGTTAATTCGTTATTTAATCTGTATTATTCTTTCGGTTCCTCCGAGCGAGGGTAAACTTGTAATAAGTGTGGGTGAGTGTGTGCATGTCTTTCAACCCCCACTTTTTTCTCCTTTTTACTTACCTGCTTTGATGGTTAGTAATAGGTCATGTTTAAATTAGCATACCTTATGCTATGCATGCGTGCATCCATTCATTCGTCTCGCATGCACCGGGCTCGGTACATCATGCTAACTGCATTTGTACTTCAATTTCAAATTGAATACGTGCATCAATTGATTGCATTTCACATGCCATGTTTAGGTTAGCCGAGCCTACTCTAATTGCATCATGTATGTGTTGCATTAGACATCCAAACATGGACTTGGATCATGCATTGTTTACTGACTAGTTTATTGTCTTGGCGGGGAGTACGATGTAAGTATTTTCATGTTTTAGCATATCGCATGTGGGTAAATGCTATCACGACAACATGTTTACCATGCGGCTAGATGCTTATGTGATAAACTGTTTGAATGCCTGTGGGTGAAGGTTGGATTGCCTGAGTTGGAAACACTCGTTGAAATCCGTGTTTTTAACCTACTTGCGAGTAGCAAATTCCAAAGTGTTTTTTCAAGACAAACGGATATGCAATGTTTATTTCCAAATTAGGCAATCTAGTCTATAAT